TCACACCGGCCTTCCAGAGGTCATCTAAAATTTTCTACCTTCTTCCTACATTAGATTTCACTCTTGCAATTCTGAGGGAGGAAGAAACACAGTGGGAACAGGGTTGGAGGGAAAAGTGTAAAGGACAAAAATTTATAAGTTTTATATAAAATCATGAAAGTTTTAGTACTTTGTCCTTTTTAGACATTATGGATGGAAAAGAGAAAAGATCATAGAAAGAAAGCCCCCCCCCCCGCACATGCTAAGAATGGGCTCTCTCTGTTCAAGTTAAAATCTCTTTAGAAAACTGGCTCAAAAAAAGGTAAATATAGAAATATCCAAATTAGTGTTTTCTAATTTCAAATGATCTTTTTTACTTCAGCATTATTGTTCTTGTGGCTCATGGATTCCTTTTGCTTTGGACAGGAAACAAACTTTTTTGGAAATGTGAGGTGATAAATATGAAATAGTTCATATCAAAAGATTTGTTTTTAAAGGGTGTATTTTAAGTATTTATACATGAAATCATTATTCTGGGATAGGCATACCTGGAGTTGAGGGATGAAATGGAGGAAAATAGGTCAAATACAGATGATGTAGGGATTGAGAAAATGTTATTTGTTGAAGCTGGGTGATGAGTACATGGAGTTAAATATGCTAGGCTACTTTTGCATATATTTTCCTTTCATTTCAAAAAGGTGAAAAGATAAATTGTGGTTAACAATTTTATGTTCTTTCAGGATGCATGGGATGGAGTCAGTAATATTAATTTTAGAGCTCTTAAGAACCATTTTTTCTTGAAAGAGGTTTCATGTCCTACCCAAAAGATGTAATTGTCTAATACGTGTAGGACCATACCACCACTCGTATGTGTACTGTCACCTTTCTCTGTTCTAACAGAATTTAGAATCTTTGGAAGGGAGCCCGCCACCACCACCTTTGATTCTCAGTAATTCGAAGGAAGTGTACTGGAGTCTTAGAAAGTGTAATTCATTAGGCAGACTAATTTTACCAAAAAATCTTCTAGTGCTACCTATACAAGTATGAGTTAGCTATGTGAGCTTAACACTTAACTTACTGAGTTTTCCACTCCATTATAGCTCCTAAACAGCTTACCCCTACTGCATCGTTTATTTTAAAGCTAAGGTTATACTGAGCATCTCTTTTCAATATACTTAAACACATTGACCTTTGAGTTGAAATAAACATAATAAAATCAACAAATACCATTTAATGAGCATTTCCTACAGGCCCCATGTCAACATTTTCATATCTATTCCTTTCATCTTGGCAATGGTGTAAGGAGGTATTATCAAAATACCATCATTTAGATAAGTGTGGTTCAGAGAGGAGAAAAAACCCAGTGGTAAATAGGTGGAGCCAGAATTCCAAGCCAAGTCTGTCTGAATGCAAGCAAGGCCTATTCGACATATACTATACATCTTATTTATACAGTATGTGTGTGTGTTGTTCCGAAGGACAAAAAAGCCCATATCCGAGGTTCTCAGGTTCAGGAATACTGTATCCAACAAATCTGAGGTCTGAGGCCGGCTGAGTAACTCAGTTGGTTACAGCATGAGCTCTGAGCAACAGGGCCGCTGGTTCGATTCCCACATGGGCCAGTGAGCTGTGTCTGAGCTACCAAAGGGTAGCTGGATGGCGCTGGTGGCCGGATGGCTCAGCTGGGGAGAATGTGTGCTCTTAACAAATTTTCCAGTTTGACTCCCTCATGGAATGGTGGCCTACGCCCGCCCCTCCCCTGCCTGTCCACCGAATCCTCCTGGAGCAAGAGGTTTCTTGAGATATCACCCTTCCATAAAAACCTTAACAGTTATTCTCAATGGAGAAAAAAGTAAAAAAACAAAACNCGCCCCCTGGCAACTAGATTGAAAGCAGCGACTGGACTTGGAGCTGAGCTGCACCCTCCACAACTAAGACTGAAGGACAACAACTTGACTTGGAGCTCATGGGTCCTGGAAAAACACTGTTTCTCTTCCCCAATTCCCCAATAAAATCTTTAAAAAAGAAAAGAAAAATAAATCTGAGGTCTGAGTTTATTATACTTTAGGTTTAGAGTCTTAATATAACTTCCATAAGTTATAGTTCAGGGAAAGATGGTATGTTCAGGTCATACTTTTCTCAGGGAGGTGCCTCAAAAATTCTTGAGGAGCATACCTCTTTCCATCCAATTCATTTCCATTCCACACACACATCAGGAAAAAGCAACTGAGGCTGCCCAGACAATGGTGAATCTCAGACCAGTAGTTTAGGGGAGACCAGATTGACGTTTGAAATAGCTTACTTTTATGAAAGTATTTTCTCTACTGTTTTTTAGTGGGCATGATATTATATATGTATATATTTTTTAAATTAAAATTTATTGGGGTGACAATTGTTAGTAAAATTACATGTTTCAAGTGTACAATTCTGTAATACTTCATCTACATATCACATTGTGTGCTCACCACCCAGAGTCAGTTCTCCTTCCATCACCATATATTTGATCCCCTTTACCCTCTTCTACCACCCTCCTCCCCCCTGGCAACCACTAAACTATTGTCTGTGTCTATGAGTTTTTTTTTTGTCTTGTTCTTTTGTTGTTTTCAGTTCTATATCTCACATATGAGTGAAATCATATGGTTCTTGACTTTTTCTGACTTATTTCGCATGGTATATTGAAGGCATATACGCTGTGGTCAGTAGTGTGAACATAAATAAATAAATTTGAATAATACCTTTAAAATATTTCAAATTTTTATTAAATATTTTTATTCAGTTTTAAGATCACAGTTAAAGTACTTTAGCATGTTATACACATGACTTACATGTGCAATTTTTAGAAATATCAAATTAAGTATAAGATTTTGAAGAAAGAAATTATATAAATGTGTATATTGACTTTTACTACACATACATCTAAGAAAGCAATAATTCTGTTGTACCATTAAGTGGAAATCATTTATTACATGGCATGTTTACACCAACTCTAAAGAGAACCGAGCCAATTTCCAAAAGCAAAAAAAGTAAACAAAAAACAAAAATGAAAACAAAAACAAATGAGCGATTCGATCATGCTGAAACAGTCAACAGACTGAAGACCTGGTGGTCAAATGAAGCTATGATTAATTTATGACAAGTAAGCAATTCAAACCTATGAGGAAAGTTCATAATCTGGGATGTGGAATCTCAGGTGGTTTTATTTTTATTTTTTTGACAAATTCCTGAGAGCAAGAGACTTGTTTAGTGCTAACGAAATGAGAAAAATGTTGCTGAGCATGTGCTGAGCTCCAAATCATGAGCCTTCCCTCCCCCTCCCCCCCAGTTCTGCCACTCTTAGAGCACGAGGGCACTAATGTGAGGTGTCAAGGGATGTGAACCAGCCCCTCGGGGGGCCCCTAAGAGAGCTCAGTGTTGGTTCATGAAACATGGGTGCCTCTGCAATTTAGAGCTTGTGAGGTAAGATTTGCCGTGCGGGTGGGAGGGTGTGGAGGCATGTGAATTAGGTCCTTGTTACTCAGTAACCAGTCCTGGCCCAGAGTATTAAGAAATCTTTGGAAGGAGTCATTATGTTCACAACAACTAGTTCTGTGCATAAAAATCAGTTGGAGGGCAGGATCGATTTTGGCCACTGACAGCAATGAGAAAACTGTGGCCATAGAAATTTTAAGTACAAGGTTTCCTTTTTCAATTTATTAGTATAAATCATAACCACCACCCATAAAATTTGGCCAGAAGAGGAACATCTATTTTTGTGTGAAGAAAAAATATATTTATATATTTTAAGGAAAGCATAGCACAAACAGATGGAGGTGTATGAGCGAGTCAGACATACTTGTCTTGTTCTTCACTTTTTTGTTGCTTCCTTGTTCTGAAATGTAAGGAAGGTAATGTCCCCAGTGATAAGGACAAGGTCATATATTATGGAGTATAATAAACTTAGCTATCATTTTCAAACTAAAGCAAAGCAGTCCATCAAACCCTGAATAGTTCACCAAGCATAACTGGTAAGACGAACTGAACAACTGTTTCTTTTTTACTATAAGTATATAATGTTAGTCAATGTAAGTAAGATAATTTTTCAAAGTTCCAAAAACTGAAATAACAAAATCCAAACCTAATTCTTTGGGAATGCTTATATAAATAAAAGCCAACATCTAATTAACAATTAGTACACTTTTCATAAGGTGCAAAACAAGGTCCTATGTGGGGAAAGCTAGAATTTAATTTCCACCTAGCAGTCACTCTGAATACTTTATATGTCAAATGAATAATAGCATTTGCTTCTACTGCCCATTTTCAGCGATACATTGTTCTCTCTGGAGAAGGCGGTTTGTGAAGTCAAAACACTGCAGTGGAAAATAGTGGCACTGAAGGTACAAGCAAAAAAGAGACAAATCTTTGAAATAGAACTTACTGAAATTAACTTTTAAAGCCGAGGTAGCCCATTAGGATTGGCCTTATCTGAGGGCTCTGTGGAGCAGTGCAATCAAAGCTGAATCTCCTCAACGGCATCACATACACCCCAACTTTCCCTTTATAAATGAGGACTCCAGGCCTCGCTTGTCTGTCTTCCTGTTCCCCAGCGAAGAGGCGGTGCTTCTCCTCTGGTGTATGGATGCCAGCCTCCAGCCTCCAGCTGCTGGTCTCCAGAACACTAAGGATTCATACAGTAGTTTAGCAGGCAGCATGGTCCCACTGCTTCACATTAATGCCAAATGCCAAACTCAGAACAGAGCTATTGGATAGTCCCCCTCCCCCCTCCCCCACACATACTATATAAACAAAACATGTCATTCAGTTTTCAGCTTCCTCCTGGTTCTGTATCAACGTATAACTTGCTTGAGATTTTACATAGGTGCAAACATTGTCATACGATGAGCCAAAGACTGCAGAGTGCAAACAAAATTTTATCTGACTTAGGCAGAGTAGCATCTGACTTACTAAGAAAATGACAGGATTAGACACATTGGATGCTAAAGAACTAGATAGACCAGTTCAGATGCTCCTCATTGTTCATAGTGTTCCATCACTTTTTTTTTTTTTTTCTCCAGCAGTTTTAATGGCAGGAACTAGCATATCAGTGGTAACGTGGGAATGGTGTCAGCATTTCGGCTTTGAGATGGCATTGGCAGAAAGCTCATCTGACAGAATTAAATATATATATATATTTCTGATTATTTGTGGGGAAAAAGGACTGTCAGAATTCCAACAGTATGATTTATCCTTTAAAGGGGGCTTTAATGAGTCAACCGGTTTTGATCTAAAAAATCTGGGAACTAATCTAATTTGGGAATAAGAACCTGTATCTTCAGTGTGGCTGTGGGACATTTTTCCTCTTTCCTGATCTCATTACAGTATCCAAACAAATAAAAACTTTAAAAGGATGTCTTACAGTAATTTTTTCTTTCACTCAGCTACTTAGAGCTGCAGCTTCAGTTACTATTATATACTCTACACACTTCAAAATTACATAGGAAATACCCGGAGTAACTAAATAAATAAAAGGCTAAAGGAACCGGGAACAGTACTGCGTCTCCATCTGAGACTAAACCATCCGCTTCCAGCATCACTGAGAAGGGCGAGGACAATTTTTTCCAAAAGATTTATATACAGGTTTGAATCCAGAAATTAAGGTTAAAAGCATAAATATTGATAATTTCAACTAAATTCAGAATGGTTTCAGAAAGATATGATACAACAATTTAGAATAAAACAAAGCAGAAGAGTATCATATTTTGGTTTGCTTGAGATATACATAAGGTGCAACAACTTTTTCTCTTGAGGATGCTAGTGGGACAGATGTTAGTGTAGATGGTGGGTGTCTGCTGGCAGATTATGGTACACACTATACCAATATGGTTTTCCAAAATAAAGAATGAGAGAAATGAAATGAAAATGATAAATGGGGCGGGGGGGGGAACTACATGTTTGTCTGAAGTATTTGTGCTAACAAACGTTGTTACCTGAAAATACCAACACCCCTTTCCAGTGGATACAGGGCATAAGAAAAGCACTAATATTGAAATCAAGACTCCCATTCAGAGAAAAGACAAGGCGAGTGTCTAAAGGACTATAAAGCTTTGCAGGATTTCTGCTACTCTCAGTGCCTAGCCGCTTAAAAATTAAGCATTTCTACAAAAAAGTTTTTGTTTTTTAAGTATCTGAAAACAGTCATATCCAGTAGGTTGCCCTCCCACGCCCACCCCTGCCTAAGGGAAAAGCCACTGAGGTTTAGGAAAAGCAGATCAAGTAAGATATTAATCATATAGAAAAAAGTAATCTTTTGCTTTGCTTCTTTTTAAAAAAAGGTCCCATGAATACACAGCACTGTCTTGAGGAACTCTAGTGAAAGGTAATCAGAGGACTGGAGGAGGATGCTCTGGCAAAAATAGATCTATTCTAACGTGTTCTACAGCATAACAAGTTAGTACCATTGTCAAGGTGCATGTTCTGCACCAAACAATTTCTGTTGTTGGTTGGTTTTTTTTTTTTTTTGGATTTTAGCTAATAATAATTTTAAAATCACTGCTAGCAAGTGGTCCAGAAACTCCCAACAGCCACCAACACTGGGACCCAGCGATTTCCAAACATTCACTTTGTATTTTGAGATTTAGAAAATATTACTAAAACAGCATCATAGTAAAAACAGCATGCTGCAATTTGGGGGCTGCTCGCCTGATTTATCTCTGTGTGAATGGGGTTAAGCTTTAACCTCTGATTAACCTCGCTGACTAACTCCTTCTCCACGCCCACAATGAGTATGCATTTTGAGAACACCCTTCCAATGCTCTGCTGCCCTCTTCACCTGCTTTGAAAAAAACATCTCTCTATTTAGTCTTCTTCAATTCTGTTAGTTTGTTGTACATATTTTCCAGCACTGAAACTGAAGTACAACCATGAAAAGCTAAACCTAGTCAGTACTAATAGAGTCATTTTTTTATATGGCTATTAGGTCAAATTACGATTAGAAAAAAATCATCATTACAATTCAGTCAAGTATAAATAAGAAAGCTAGATAAAACCTTGTAAACTGTCACCATTTAGAGATCTAATTCAAAAGCTTCAAACTTGAACTAACACTATCAAAATTCTGCCAGTTTGAAAACCACTAAAAATTATTGCTGGAATCCAATCATTGAAATTTGGTAGTTTGTGCTGCGATGCAAGAGTGGGGAAATACTTTGTGCTATGGAACAAATACCCTGTAAAATCTGTAGTCTCTGACTAATTTTGATTTATCACTTTGTATCTGTTGCTAGGAAACAAGACACTGTGAACGTCAGGTGGTTAAGTCAATATGTTGAATGTTCTACGCCAGTTAATCCACTTGGTACTGGCATATGTACGGTTGGTTTTTATGTTCAAAAGCAACAAAATACAAAAAGGAAACAGAAACTTGCAGGTGGATCTATGACTGACACTCTCCCTCTGGTCAGGCATACTTCCCTTAACAACACAAACTCAAAATGGCTCTAAAAACCTGCAGTGCCAGTTAGGCTGTGCATAGCAATTGCTACCCGTCCAGTCTGGGATGGATGGAAAAGGTCTGTGGCTCAATGTCCACAGGAAGTGAGTGTCTTCAATGTGTTCAGAATAGTGAAGCAATACTAAGGTCACTTCTGAATAATAGTTTTCTCTTATTTTTTTTTTTTGTTTTTTTTGTTTGTTTGTATGAACGATCCATTGGTCGCTTCGACCCTTGTGTAAAAATAAAAGAATCCTCAAGGCATGAAAACACCAGTAACCTGTAATCTGCAGGACTCTTTCCCCTGTCTGGGAAAATATTTGCCACAATTTGCCCCAAGCAAATTCTTCTTGGTCACTCAAGGCTAAGAAAAAAATTCAGCTTGTAAGAATCGTAAATTTTTTTTCTCTCTCTCTCTCTTTTTTTTTTTTTTTGCCAGCAAACTACCACCCTGGTGGCAAATATAAAAGTGCAGAATATATGGACCACGAGGCCGAGCATACACCGCTAACAATGGTACATCTGCCTGCCCGTGCTGCGTGGGAGTCTCGGAACAGGCTTTTTAATATTATTCTACAATATAAATGTAGGTATAACCTATTATATAAACCTTCTTAGAACTCAAATCTCCATGTACAAAAAAGACTAAGAATATCTAATAATAACTAGTGCAGTGCGTCAGTTTTGTTTTTTTTTTTGTTTGTTTTTTTGTTTTGAAAGAATAACTAGGTAATATACGAAACTAGTTTCACACTCTCTGGTTGGTAAAAGAGATGCCGAATGAGCTACAGTAAAGGCAGCCTTTTACCAAGTTACCCCCTATTACCGTCAAAGCCTTCAATAGAAAGCAAAGCTCTAGAATCATTTCGTTTCTGCTCATTATCAGACAGGTAACATCATCCTCAAAGATTCTGACTTCTGAAAGAAGAAATGGGCCCAGAAGGCTAACTTCTGCTTCAAGTGAATCTGGGCCGTGTAGGGCAACAAGCACTTGTTTGCAGTCTATAGTTTCCACCACATGGAATCACTAGCATCCCTCGGTAAAGACAAGGCTAGGATAGTAGGTAAAGCACAATGTTTTACAATTAAAGGGCGGTTCACTGGTCAGCGCAGGAAATAAGTACAGGAGCCTGTGGCATTTCTTTTGGCTGCCCATCATGGGTGAGTGGAGTTGACCTCTGACCTCTGTAAAGCAAAAAGAGGAAAAAAATCACTTATTCAGAGTGTGTTATCAGGAATACGTGAGAATGATAACAATATCTTGTTTAATAGCTACTGCTGACTTTTTACTTATGCCATTTAATTAAAACCAATTTTGTCCTTAGAGATTCTATCTATCTATCTATCTATCTATCTATCTATCTATCTAAATTTATTGGGGTGACATTGATTAGTAAAATTATATAGGTTCCAAGTGTACATTTCTATAATACATCATCTATATATTGCAGTGTGTTCACCACCCAGAATCAGTTCTCCTTCCATCACCATATTATTTGATGCATTTTATCCTGTTCCACCACCCCTCCTCCCGCCTTACTCTCTGGTAACCACTAAACTGTTGTCTGTCTATGAGTTTTTGTTTGTCTTATTTATTTGTTGTTTTCAGTTTTGTATCCCACATATGAGTGAAATCATATGTTCTTGTTCTTTTCCATCTGACTTATTTCTCTTAGCATGATACTCTCAAGATCCATCCATGTTGTTGCAAATGGCAGTATTTCATCTTTTCTTATGGCCTAGTAATAGTCCTTTGTATACATGTTTTTTAAAGGATTTCTTACTTCAGTTTCCCTCACACAACTCAATGATATATTCTTTCCCCAACTGACCACCTCCATTTTGTAGAGACAAAACCTGAAGCACCAACAGATTTGGGGAAATTCCCTAAGAGTGGGAAAGTTTAAGTCAAGGGCTGAGGCTCTAGGACAACAATCTTCCTCTTGATCCACTAATATTCAAAAATGACACATTCTTTTCCCTAATTTGCCTGAGGGAAAAACTGTCCTATACTGATTGACAACCTCCAGGCTCATTTCTTAAGATGTATAGTAATAAACCCAATTTAAAACTTAAGGCCAATAAAAGCAATGGTCTCTGAAGAAAAAGAGGTAGACTGCGACTCTAAAAAAGCAAATGAAAACACTGAAATCTTCTTAAGAAAAGTTTCGCAGGCATACATGGAGAGAGAGTGTATGGAAGAAGGTAAGTAGCAACTGAATTTTAAGCGTGCAAGAAAATCCAGTCAACTTGGGCCCAAATCAACTGGAACTGCATGGAACAGAGCTGATTTTTCATTCAGCTTTTGTTCAATGAGTAGGACCCAATAGAACTTATTTCATGGTTATTAACCAAACTGTTCCAAATTCTTGGTAACTTCTACAGAGCTTCTCATTCTAAAAAGATACAACTGGGCACCTCCTTGACATTTTCCAACAGGCTTGTCAAGCCCGCGTGATGCACACCCGTTGCTCTGGTCTAGAATGGTCTGCCGTGTGCAGCACTGTGGTGAAAACATGTGAGGCATCAAGAGAAGGAGGTACCAAAGCAATGGTTTCACTGGTTTCAGAAATTCAATATAGTATCTTCCTCAGATTATGTATAACAAAAGGTGCTGTTTTAAAATTCAAATTGTATTGGCTCCATAACTATGTCCCATTTCTTTCTCTTGCACAGAAAAGAACTGTCACATGACAGGGACAGAGCAAGAAGCAAACAAAGCCTAGGCCAGGGCCTCCTACACGTGGATGTGAAAAAGGAGAACGGAGCCCAGCGGGCGTGTGTACAAGTTGTACTCGATTTCGAGCTCTTCTGTACAGAAGACTGAAAGGCTAAGAAACTAACTCATCTGTGGGTAGTCCACTCTGAATAAAAATATGAAATATCTGAATTTACAAAAGGCTTTTTTGCCTTCCTAAAGGGTCCATCAAGTGGCAGAATGCCCTGTTATGCACTTAGAACTTCATATGTTTTCTGCAGGGCTTTCACGAGTTCACAAGGCTTTCGCATCTATGATCCTGGCTGATCCTTACAACTCTGTGATTCTTTGGGGAGACCATTATGCTCCATGTAAGATGAGGGAGGAAACTGAGGCCGAGAGAAATCAATTGCTTTGTAGCAAACAGGGAGCTGAAGACAAATCCAGGCCTTGCCTGCCATGACAGGTACCATGATGCTCTTTTTCTGGAACCATGCTGTTTTCTGCTGGTACCACTTTGCCACCAATGCCATCCTCAATGGGGGCGTTTACTGCGTGCCAGCACATGGGACACTAATGAGTACCACTTACCCCCTTTTATGGAAGAAAAAATGGGAGGGTAAAGAGGTGACTGATCTTGCCCTAGACTTTGCAGTTTGCAGGTGATAGAGCTAGAACTCACACCCAGGTTTGAGACCTGACTCCAAATTCTCATGCTTAATGACTAGATAGAATAGCAGTACTGCTTCTCAGGTCTGTCAGGCTTTTTATGGAAATGAAGTATAGCAAAAGAATAAAAAATATTCAAAAATAAAATACCTGGCCAGTTATATGCCCTTATGTTTTTGAACACTGCTAATTCATCAGCGCATATATTTTTATAACACGTCGCATAAACAAAAGTGCTCTCGACTCAAGTCTTATGCACTGTGAAAAATACCCCAAATCATGTCAGAAAGGATGGTTCCGGTTTCTATGTCACTTTCCCCATCTGTGTTCCAAGGAAGGGGGTGAAGTTGAGCTGGGTCCCCAGAACCCTGGCCGCAAGGCTTCGCACCACTAACCTGTGCACATTTTCCATGGCGGCCACTTCAGCCAGCGCCGCCAGGCTGAAGAACGCAGACACTGCCGGCATCTCGGGAGTGCTGCTCCGCGTGTCCGCGGCCTCGCTGCCGTGTGCGCATTCCTCACTGCAGCCTGTCCCGGGCACTTTGGGGAGGCTTCTCTGCAGTTGTTCCTTTGGTTTGTCATCTGTAATGAAAGGGAAATCCATCACGAAAGGATCCCTCTGTTCTCTCCGGAGAAAAGACACAGAGAAAACTCTGTGCCAGGCAATCTGAAATGAGCTAATATTCTTTACTGTTCACTTCTGTCATCCACTAACTATTAAGGTTTTTATAGAAGCTATTCTTCCATGGTCACAAACTCTTTTATTAAGCTCAACTGCAACTATGGGCAGCGCTGTGCCCCGAAGCTGAGCAGAGGAGAAGCTGTGTTTTACCCAAGGTCAAATAGGTCAGTCTTGGACAGAGAAGGAAAAATGGGCTTGAGCCAAAATAAAACCCAAGAGACTTCTGCAAAGGGGCCTATGGATGCTGCAAAGGGCCCCTAAAAACCCAGCTGATCAAGTATTTCTGATGAAGCCACGGCACGCCCTGCCATGGCAACGTGGACATTGAGTATCGTGGCACCAACACTTAGGCTGGACGGCACTAATCCCAGTGAGATTACAGATGATCATTTTTGTTTTGAAGACCTACTGGAATGAAGATAAAGGGCCTTCTGGTATTTCTGAAGACGTGGCTGAAATGCTATGCAAATATATTGGTTGGAAGTGAGTATATTTTATTATGCAGCTGTCACAGAGGAAGAGGAATCTCTACCATGGTTTTTAAAACATTAACAATAGAAAATCACTGATAAAGGGAGCAAATGTCATATATTAACTGAACATGTGCTTTCTATGTGAAAGGGACCATTTTCTAAAATCTTTCACTCTTCCAAATGAGGCTGTATAGCTATTTACAAAATGAAAATCACAGACCAGACCTAGAGTGGAAAGGGCGGGAGAGAGGGGCCTGCTGGACTAAGTATCAGAAAAACTAGGTTCTAGTCCTCATCCTCCAGCTACTGAGTTGTTCAAAGTATTCAAAACCAAAATTCCACCTTTTTGAGCTTCATCTCCTATGTGACAGGGTAACATTGGGGGTCTTTAATACACGTTATGGTTCTAACAATCTACATACGCAAAACACAAGGAAAGGGCACCACGTTCACTAATTAGCCTCTAAGTCTACGTTAGCAAACAACGGATCTCTATTAACTAGATTAACTTAAGTCATACAGTTATAAATATTACTCTCAAAAAACACTCCTTTAAATTTTTTTTTTCTATTTATAGACATCTTTTTTTTTTTGACAATGGATTAAGGTTGCGGGAGGGACACTTCCTTCAGGGCTAACAGAATGAGATGCTAGAGGAACTAAAAGGCAGGAAGGTAACAGCTAAGACCACGAGTGCTCGGCTGGAGCGGCACTCCAAGGTTTGAAGGAGGGAGCTCAGTGTCACTCTGACTCCACTCCTGAACTTGGGCCCTTCAGGCAATTCTGCTGCCATGCAGGCAGGCCACCAGGAACAACAAACAGACCACAGGCCGCAAGTGAAAATGGAGAAATTCACTGTGAGTTACGATTTGGTTAATAGCCCAGAGAGCTCCGGAAATTCAGATGCATTCTCAAGTTCCTTTGGTGGTCTCGAGCAGCTTTATAGGAAGTGCTGGAGGCTTTCTAAGATGCCTTAAGTCATGGGTTTAGATACCTGATAATCTGGCTTGTAGTGACTTGAACAGTAAACCATGGAGAAACACTTATTCATCCAATATTTTTAAAAGCCTAGGATCTTTGGAAATTGACTTAACGAGGACTATTTTGGTGCATGCTGAGAAAGGGAAGGAGATGTTGACAGCCCTAAAAATTACTCTTCCTTTTTTAGGAATTCCAGATATGTTCTTGGAAAAGGAGATGTGATTTTAAAACATAGAGTAAAACATGTAGATTTGGGAGTTTGCAGAAAACGAGTTCTCAAGGAAACCCAGAGAGAGAAAATGTTACTGTGACCAAATTGACAGAACAGACCCATGTTTGTCTGTGAGGACCCAGAGTTGCCTTAGAGTCCCGTGCTGGCCAGTGTGGCTGTGAGGTTCACCTGCTGACTCTGGTTATCTCTGTCTACCGCTCCCTCTCCTCACCCAAAGTACCTCCTGCTGGTGACACCCGGCCATCTGCTGTCCTGACCAGGTGTGTGATCTTGGTTTTCCTCGCTTTTCTCTTCTGGCTACCCACCAGCGGTTCTTGCATGGCTGCTGGCTCTGGAGTGTTGAGAATGGAGAGGGCATTTTTAACCTTATAAGCAGGCTCTGTGGTGTTTTTGTCTTCTGTAAATATGGCTGAAAACAGGACAAACCATATGTAATAGTTACACACAAAAACACAAAGCATCAACATTGCTCCTGGAAGGAAATATTTCTAAATGGCTGACCTATCTGAAGGTAGAACTGATATTTAGTTTTCAAAGTATTAATAATGGGGAAAAAATAAAACATCGCCTTTGCTTTTAAATCAATATATTCATTTATATCTGCTTTGATAAATTAAGTACAGATGCCCCCCACCCCAATGCCCCTTAAGAGTATACTGAACCAAGGGGCCACTGAAGTAACATTTTCTAAGGGTTTGGATCTGGCAGGTTGGGGGGGGGAGGTGTGGCGTGGTGGTGGTGGTGGCGGTGGTGGTGGTGGTGG